CCTGGCACGGTCCCTGCTGGCTGCTCCCCTTCCATTCCGAGCAATCAAACTGAAGGGCTCTATCTCCTTTGCTAACACAAACAAGAGAACCCCGTGATCTCAGCCCCGAGCTGCAGCCCAGGAATTCACCTACACCTCTGCCCAGATGCTCGACTCATTTAGAAACTTAACACTGGAGGCAGTTAGAAGACAAAAATCCAAATTTGAAACAAAATATCGAGGTTAGCTTCATAATGATATATTTTAAGATACATCACCCCCAAATCGAGGGGCTGAGTCTGATCTGTTTTAACAGCATGATCTACCTGCTGCCAGCTCGTGGGGACATGTTAGGGCAGTGACTGCTCCCTGAGAGCCACCCTGGTGCTGGGGGCAAAAGGGTTAAAGACACATTGAATAACAAGCCCAGGAGCCACATGTCCCTGCTCTCCTGCAAGAACTCGTTATATTTCAGACCTTACACTCGTTTTACTTTCAATAATCCCTGCGAAATATTTGTATGGCTATAGAGAGATTGATAAACAGATAGAGAAACAAAAGCCCTGCGTGATTATAGTGAAGATTTGACTCTTAAAATTATTTAAATCGACACACTCTACTCGCAAAACACAACACAACCCCTCCTGCCAGCATCCAGCATTTCAGAGAGAAAGCAAAAACGAAATACCTTCATCTAGGCGGGATGTTAAAGTGATCTGAGCAAGGACGAGCATTACAAAAGCCATCAGCTGGCACTCGAGCACAGCTCCCCAAACGGGTGAGCAGAAAGCACCCGATGAGAAGAAAAGGAGCAAAATTCTCCCCAAAGACTTGAAATCGCAGCAAGTGGCGAAGTGAGTTCGCAGAAAAACAGACATGAGAAAGTTTACTTCTCACAAGATAAAAAACTGACGTGGTTAGAAAGTCATCTTACAATTGGTGCCAATCATTTGACGTTTTCAGACCTACCCCCAGCCCACACTCTCATGAGAGTCCTTCGTTTGGGACAATGGGGGAGGGGGGAAATGAGAGACAGAACTCATTTTCAGGCAATTTCAGTCCATGCCCCCGTTCGGAACTGTTCCGCAATGGCTGTCGCGGACAATTACAGCCTCTCAAAGCACATTTATTTATTTTTTTTTTCCCCAAACTGCTCCACTCCAACAGAATTGTGCAATATAGACCTATTTACCTTCCCAACCCTTCCCCCCCGCTCGGACACTTCAGCAGAATGAACAAGCCGAACTACTTGACCTCAGCTTCTAAATCGCGATAAATCAGCTGCCACATCGTCTCTAACAAATTTAACAAATTCGTGCCCAGCCCCTCCCCCGAGCCAGCTCGAAGGTGTTCGGTAAAAGCATCTCTGCTTTTACCGAAAGCGCCGCTTTCCTCACGGGGACGGCGAAAAAAGCGCCGGGGACGGACAGAAAAGCTTCCTTATGAACAGCCCATTAAATGCGATAGCGACAAGCCCTGTCAGTGACAAATCTGGGGCTTTTTCAAAGCACAAGGAGCCAGACTGCACCCTTGTCACGCTCTTTGCAAGTCACACAATCCCAGAATATTCCGAGTTGGAAAAGACCCACGGGGATCATCGAGTCCAGCTCTTTTAAACGAATCATTAAGAGCTTTCTTGAGGTTTTTCTCTCACCCTTCAAGCATCAAAGCAGCAGGCAGAGCCGGGGATAGAAGGGTCCCTCTCTAAGCAGATTAAAGTCGGGTCTCTCCGCTACCCAAACGCGTCCCTGAACTTCCCCGTCCTCCGGTCCGCGGGGCTCCCTCAGGGCACGGCGGAGCCCTTGGGCCGCACAGCCCCTCGGGGAGCCGCTCCTCAGAGCCCTGAGCCGACAGCAGCCGGGACGGAGCCGCCGGGCCCGGAGCCCTCAGGGGGACCCTCAGCGGGGCAGCCCGGCCGGGGAGAGAGAGGCGCTGCCGCCGCTCCTGCTCCCTCCGGGCCGGGGGGAAGTGGGGAAATGAGGCGCGGGGCAGAACCCGCCGATCCCCCAGCACCTCCTGCCATCCCCTCGGCACCTCCCGCCTTCTGCCTCAGCGCCTCCTGTGTCCTCCTCAGCACCTTCCCTTCAACACCACTTGTCTCCCCCTTAGCAACTTCCCCTCAAAAATCCTAATCTCCACCTCAGCATCCCTTGTCTCCCCTCAATTCTCCCAGCATTTCTGTTTTCGCCATTAGCACCGTCCCCTCAGCACCCCCTGCCCGGGGCAGCCCCCTGAGGGCACCTCCTCCGCCGCGAAGCCCCCCCACCCCACCGCCCTGAGGCGAACCGCCATCGCTTCCTCCCGCCGAGCTCGTACCTGCTCGTCCCGGCGACTCCGTGCCCCGGCGAGGCGGCGGCAGCGCGGGCAACTCCGGCTGCTGTAGAAGCTCGGCCGCTTCCACAGTCGAAAATGGCGCCGAAACGGCGAACTCGAACCGAAATTCGTTAGAAAAGCGCGGGGCAGGCTGGGACGGGAGGGGCCGGGCCCGCGGGTTTGAACGGCACCGCCGCCCCCGCCCGCCATCTTGTGTTCGTTACAGCAGGGAGGGGAAAGCGCCCAGAAATCCGCCGGGAGCGGCATTTTCTGGGCAGACACGGGGAGGCGGGAGACATTCGGGGGTGAGGGCGGCGAGGTAACACAGCCTGGCGGCCGTGCCGGCGGAGAGAAGGGTTAATTTTAATTTTAGAAGTAGGTCAGTGGGCGGCGTTTGGTTGCTGGGCGACACGCGGTGGTTTAAAATTAATAAAAAAATATTTAAAAAAAATTTTACTAGTGAAAAAAAAATTTAAAAATGGTGAGAGCGCGGCGATTTTGAAGCGGCTTTAATTAATTAACGGGCGGCACCGTGGCACCTTGGGGGGGCCGGGGGGGAGCCGTGAGGTGGCGGAGGAGGAGGATGAAGAGGATGCGGTCTCGCGAGAAGTCGCCATAGCGACGGCGGCGCTTGGCGGCGGGGGGAGCGGGAGCCGCCGCTCCTGAGGCGACGGGAGCGGGACGGGGAGGCGGGATCATCCCGGGATCGGCGAGGAGCAGCCTGCGGGATCATCCCGGGATCGGCGGGGAGCGGCAGGCGGGATCATCCCGGGATCGAGATCCGCCGGGAGCGGCAGGCGGGATCATCCCGGGATCCGCCGGGAGCGGGATCATCCCGGGAGCTGTCGGCGGGATCGCCCCGGGTTCCCCCGGGAGCGGGCTCCGCCGGGAGCGGGCTCCGGCCGCCGCTCTGCCGCTGCCTCCCGCTGCCCGCGCAGGTAAAGGCGCGCTGGGGAGGCGGCGGCCGCCGGCCCCCTCCCCTCGGCTGAGTCACCGCCGCGGTGGGCGACAGGGTCGGGAGCCGTGACCCCCGTCTGGGCGTGGGACGGGCGGATGGGGGGGCGGGAGAGCTCCGGGGGACAGCTGAGGGCAGGGCGGGGGAGCCCCGACCCTCAGGAGGGGTTGGATGATTGCTTCTTGGAAAGCTGCAAACGGGGGGAACAGCGGGTGTTGGCGCGGGCGGTGCTGGCCGAGGCTGCCCCGAGGGTTTGGTGTCTCCTTCTCCGTGCCCCGCGTTCCGCCGGCTGCTTTTCCTTCTCGGCATTCCCCCATCGTGCTGTGGCGTTCCTTCCCTTTCCTGCTCTGCCCCCATCCCTTCCCCATCCCGCCCGCTGGTTTTCCTTCCCTCTGGCGTTCCTTCCCTGCGCTGCCCCCATCCCGCTCTGCTCCGCCGTTCCCGATCCTCATCTCCGGGCCAGCAGCTCCGGGTGGGAAAGGCAGGAGGCGTCAGGCGCTTTGGCTTCTCCGAGCCCCCAGAATTCCTGCTTAGAATTCCTGCCTAGAATTCCTGCTTAGAATTCCTGCTTATTGCCACATCTCTCCTAAAACTCCTGCTGGATTCCTCGGGACGGAGGGAATACGTGGGCTGGCAGTCATGGATGTACCTGGTGATGGCCCAGGTGGGCGTTCAGCCTTTCAGCAGCACATACAGAGCCATTAAAATGCTTTAAAATGATAATAAAGTTCTGGGCTTGGAAAGGAAAATACCAGGTTTTGCCCTCCTGGCTGTGTGTCAGCGCAGGGGATCTCCAGTGCTCCGAACTCTGATGTTTCAGGCTTGTTCTTAAAGGTCTTTTCCAACCTTAAGGAATCACTGTTCACAGCATTATTTCTTCTTCAAGTTGTCCATATTCAGTTGGATAATGTGGAAACGGAATTCTCTTTAAACTCAGGTATTTCTTGGTGCTTATTTTTCCCCAGTAGTGATGTAATATTCAGAACTTTTCATTTTAGTGTTAGTGTCTTCCTCTTGAATTTTGGCTGCTTGTGTATGCATATATATTATGTTCATTATCCATACTTATATATGTATTTATTTTCTTTTATTGCAGTTATAACACATGGTTTTAATGCTCCATCTGAACAACTGAGATGAGACTGAAGACTTCCCTTTTAAAGGAGCCAAAACATATCCTTTGCCACAGAAAAAAAGCATGGAACATCACGTTCATTCTGAATAGACTCTTCCAGAAAATATTTTTTTGTTGTTGAAATTTCAGTAAAATATTTGTAAATTGCAGATGGCTTTTTTTCCTGTTTTTCCTTTGTTCCCCTTGTCATTGACTGCAGCCGTTAAGGACAATGTTTTAAGAGACACTGAACACTTACCTATGATGTGGTGTAAATAAACCAACACTTTTGAATGATAGTTGGATGTTTTACATTTTATTTTGCACTAAGACCCTTCACTAACCCAACATTTTGGCCATGTTTCCATAACTTCACATCATTATAAGAATTTAATTTTTATGAAATATTTTCATTTTATGACATGAAAATTTGCTTCACTGGACTGAAGTTTTACCAAGCTCTTCTTGGCACATAAGAGCAAAAAAATGAAGATTTTATTTTTAGTTTTAAGCGTTCCATGCAATCTTATAAAAATAAACTTTCTGTATTGTCCATTATGTTCTGGAGAGTCGAGATGGGGTATTGGATTATTTTTAGTGATTAAACTTTTCAGGTTCCTTAACTGAGGGACACATAAGGACTTGGTGAGCTGTGTGGGCTGGACCACAGCTGATGAGCTGTTCTCCTGCAGCGATGACCACCAGGTGATGAAATGGAACCCAGTGACCAGCGAGACCACGCGGGTGCTGAAGCTGCCAGATGAGGTTTATCCCTTGGACCTGCACTGGTTTCCCAGAGGCATCGGTGGCAAGAAGCAATCCCAGGCTGAGAGCTTTGTTCTCACCAGCTCTGATGGTAAGGCAACTGAAAATATTTCTAATAATGAAATTTAAAAATCATAAATTTTAAAAATATAAATATTTTAAAAAATTATGATTTTTTAATTTCATTATATATATATAATACTTTATATATATATTATATATATACTTATATATTTTTATATATATATAATACTTTATTATATAACATTAATACATTATATATATATAATACATATATATGTATATATATACATATATATACATATATATGTGCATGTATATATATATAAATATATATATTACATTAATACATTATATATAAAATACTTTATTATATTACATTAATACATTATATATATAATACATATATATGTATATATATACACATATACATATATATACATATATATGTATATATATGTGTATATATATATAAAAAAATATATATTACATTAATACATTATATATATATAATACTTACTGTTTCGTACCCTTGAGTGCTCATGTCAATCAAATACAAGGCATTATTTGAGGAGCAAGAAGCTTTGAGGATTGCTTGGGATTTTTCCCCTTCTCCCCAAAAGGATTTTTCCCTTGGAGGTTTTATTCCCCTTCTCCCCAAAAGGATTTTACCCTTGGAGGTTTTATTCCCCTTTTCCCCAAAAGGATTTTTCCCTTGGAGGTTTTATTCCCCTTCTCCCCAAAAGGATTTTACCCTTAGGGTTTTTATTCCCCTTCTCCCCAAAAGGATTTTACCCTTGGAGGTTTTATTCCCCTTCTCCCCAAAAGGATTTTACCCTTAGGGTTTTTATTCCCCTTCTCCCCAAAAGGATTTTTCCCTTGGAGGTTTTATTCCCCTTCTCCCCAAAAGGATTTTACCCTTAGGGTTTTTATTCCCCTTCTCCCCAAAAGGATTTTACCCTTGGGGTTTTTATTCCCCTTCTCTCCAAAAGGATTTTACCCTTGGGGTTTTTATTCCCCTTCTCCCCAAAAGGATTTTACCCTTGGAGGTTTTATTCCCCTTCTCCCCAAAAGGATTTTACCCCCAGCCAGATTTTTCTTCCTGCACGAGTTTTCCTGCCCCAGCTTACTCCTGCAGTTTTCCTGCAGCAGCCAAGTCCCCTGTGTGATAAGGATTGCTGCAAACTTGCTGAATCCAAGGGAAAAGCAGCATAATGTCTTTACAATTCCTAGTTGAACTGCAGATGTTTGAAATCAGAGCAAATGTAAATTTAGATCCCTTGGGTTTTCTTCTGAAATGCCTCTCTTGGGGGATATTGTTCTTTTATTTCCTACTGACATTGGTCCTGTTGCTATTTTTTAACAAAAATGAAGAGTATTTTTGGCTTTAACCTTCAGATTAAGGACAGATCATAAGTGATTTGCCTTTTTTTTTTTTCAATTTTTCTTGACAATTTTATATTAGGTCAGCATTTAAGAGTCCATGGAAGTTAATGGACAAAACATCCATGTTTTATATTCGGTGTTTGGATAGGCTGGGAGTCTCCCACTGGAAATTCCTGCAAAACTGGGGAGTCATTTTCAGGTTGAGGACAGTTCTGTCTTCAGTACTTAATAAAAATAAAGGACCAGAGATTGAGCTGAATCCCTACCACCTACACCAGGCATTTGGCTAAAATTTTCTCTTTTTTTGTGTAATCAGTTGTAATTTGAAAGTCTCTGTTGCCTCAGTAGAACAGAAATCCATGGAAATGGAGAAACCTCCCCCTGGGAATGCCATGGAAAAAGCTTTTGGCTGGCAGCAATTGTGAATTCCCCTGCTGGAAAAGCCAAGAAGTTGCAGAATTAAAGCTGCTGTCCCTGAAAACTTGATCTCCCCTGTTCTGCAGAAGGATTAGGATACAGTTTTAAGTGATGATCACATTTTTTCCAGAGGAATTCTGGAAAGTTGATCCTGCTTTTACATGTAACCATGTTCTGCCCTGCTCAGCTACAATTTCCTCTGTTTCCCTCTTTGGAAGGGGCCTTGTGAGAGATGTAGGAGCTTGTGGAGTGGGAGAGGATGGAAAAGATTGGGAAAAAAGTGGAGTTTTCCCTGGAAAACAGGATTTTATCTGATACTTTGACATTGCCCTTTTTCCTGATATTCTGACTTCACCAAATCCTTCAGTTCCTTCCCAGCTGCTTGAGCTTCCACTGGAATTTCATTTGTTATGAGCAGAGGAATTGCTCACAGAAATATTCAGGGGTTCTGCATGGATCACTGGGAGCTGTTTCAATATGTAAAATCAATATATAAAATTTATATCCTGAAAAAAGTGATGGCTCTGAAGAGCTCACCCTGTTCATGCCAGTCCTGGAGGTGATGGCATGGGAATATTCCTGCTCCTGGGAGATTGGGAATATGGGAATATTCCTGCTCCTGGGATTTGGTTTAAGGATTCTCCAGTGAAAAAGGTCCTGGATGCAGGTGGAGCAAAGACACTGCATGGGAAAAGGTGCAGAAAATAAAATATACATTTCTCAGAAAATAAAAGTTGTTTTTAATGTAAAAGCAGAAAAAGCCATTTTGGCAATTGACTTGGAGGAATTAACATTGAATTCCTCTAAATCCAGCTCTTGCTTTCACATGAAACATGAAAATCTCATACCTGAGAGGTGTTTTATACAATAAGTGATACATCCATGAGATAAATTCTATTTTATGATTACAGAAGAGTGGAATGCATTAAATGAACACCTTGGAAGTGTTGCAGGGGCCTTGGAGCAGCCTGGGCTGTGAAAGGTGTCCCTGCCCTTTGGGATTTCAGGTCCCTCCCAACCCAAACCAGCCTGGGATTCCATAATAAACTGTTCACATAAACTGATTTATCCAAACCAGAGTTTTTTATCAGTGTTAGAAGTCTTTTCCCTGGAAATCTTGCACTGGCAGAGATTTGGCTGGGTGATTGTGCCAAAAGTTCTGGTCACTCAGGAGCTCCCTTGCTGTGGTTCAGTCTGGCAGCTTAGATCAAATAATACTAAAAATAATTTGATTTTAAAGTACTTAATTTCAATTACTGGGCTGCTTATTTTTCCAGGCTCTCCATTGTCTGCTCTTTGCTCCAGTTTAAATTTGATCTTCCTGGGTTTAAGCAGCATCCCTTATTTGGGAAGAAAAACTTCCTGATCCTTCTGTTGAAGTCATTACAAACTTTGGGGTTGGCTGCTGTGGAATTCCACCCCAGCTCCAGCATGGGAGCAGAATAATTCTGATTTGAGCTCTGAAAAACAACTGGAAGTTCTCTTTGTGTTGTTGCTTTCTTGGTTTGTCTGTGTGCTTTCCACAGAAGGTAATATTATTACAGCACTGCTGTAATAATATAGAATGTAATTAATAATGTAATAATAATTACATTATTCTGTAATAATAATTACATAATTCTGTAAATTCTATTAACTTTTTTTTTTTTTTTTAGGGAAATTTCACTTGATTTCCAAGCTAGGAAGAGTGGAGAAAAGTGTGGAAGCCCATTGTGGAGCTGTCCTTGCAGGAAGGTGGAATTATGAGGGAACAGCCCTGGTTACAGGTGAGCATTCCTAAATTAATAAAGTGCTTTGAAAACTTAAATAACAATCTGCTTTTTTTGTCTTATTTATCACAGAAGTTATCACCTTTTTACTAGGAGCTCATTTTGCACAGTTTAATTAATGTATTTTAGCTTAGTGTTGTCCATTTTAATTAATAGATGTAGTAAAAATATTTCTCTTTTTCATTTAAATCATCCAATTACTTGAAAGTAAATGTTTTAATATCAGAGTGCTCAGATGGTTTTGTGGCTGTTCTGAACTTCAGAAAGGAGAATATTTGATTTCTTTCTTTTCTGTCTGTTGCAAGAAGAAGTTGCTAAGTTGGTGCATTTATATCCCTGCACATTTGGGGTTTTTTAGCTAAAAGGCTCATTGATCCTGAATATTCCTGTGCTTTATTCCTTAATTATCAGTAATTATCACCTCCAGCCTGTTTATATTAGTGATAGAGGAGTGAGCCCACAATTTCTTCATTTCTGCACCATTTTTTGTCCCAAATCTTTTATCAATGAGTTGCTTTTGGCGTTTTTTGTCCCAGATTCTGTGTGGGTTTTGGGGGAGCTGCTGCAGTTGCTGTGCTGGGCTCCTTGCTGGGTTTTTATGTGTCAGCCTCCTGCTGATGGAGCACAGCTGATCCCTCTGACCGCAGGAACTGCAGATAATTCTGGATTTTTTCCAAAATTCATTTTGGAAATAATAATTTTCCGGACTCTGAAATGCTGCTTCAAGGAACTCTGTCTGGCCTGTTCCTCTGAAATCCCAGAGGGATGGAAATATTGTTCTTTTTAAAGACAGCTTTGCCTCAGGAACTTCTCCAAAGACAAAGTCAAAATTGTCTTTTGAATCCCATTTTTTTTTTTATGAGGCTGCATGACACTGACACTTTTTGGGGAGTGTGGGAATTCATCACCACTTCCAGTTTATTCTGAGGACATCAACTCCTCTTCTACCACAGCTGTGCTTGGAGGAAGACTAAATAAATCATTGCTACTGCACCACTTCAAATATTTTTATGGTTGTATTTCAACAGCATCAAATGTGCACAAATAGGATTTTTAATTTTGAGTGGTTTTTTTAAAACATTTTTAAAACATTTAAAACAACATTGGCCAGATATAAAAACCTGGAATGTGGCAAATAAATTATATTTGAATGGAAGAATCCATTAATTTCTTCTTCCTCATTAATTGCATCTGGGAGGCCTAAACTGAAGCATTTTAAAAATGACACCACACCAGGAATTGTGTGCTGTAAAACAGCCCTAAGTGTGCTGTGGAGTGTTTAGCAATGAATTCTTCAGTAAATAAACGGAGTTATTTGGTAGCACACAGTTATGGTAGGAAGTTGAAGCCATCCAGAGTTATCTTCATTTATCAGCTGTGAAATCTCCAGTTGAATCCATCAAATCTGCTCCTGCTCCCCTGGGCCTTCTCAGACTCCTCTGAGCAGCTCTGGGCCATGGAAGGAATCAGAAATACAGAATTTGGGGTGCTGAAATAATGGTGGATTTTCCCTTGCTAGGACCAGCTTCGGAAAAGAGTTCGGGGATTTTCAGCAAAGGAGGATTTCTTGATAATAACCAAAGAAACATCTTAAATATTTTTCCTTCATGTATTTCCTATTGCATATTTGGAAGACTAAACAAAAGGAATTCACCTGTAAGAAAAGCTGGGTTTATTTTAACTCCAGTGTTTCCTGAGCAAACACAAATGCATTTGTTAGAGTGAATATTGCATGGCATTTGCTGATTTCTGTGCTCATTTGCAGTTGGGGAAGATGGCCAAGTGAAAATCTGGTCTAAAAGTGGAATGCTGAGATCCACCTTGGCTCAGCAAGGTGAGTTCTTTGCTCAGAGCTCCAGCAGAACTTCTTCATTTGGGTTCTTCTGAAATGTATTTAAATAACAGACCCTGAATATGGCAGGGATGGTTTCTTCAAGGCTGTTAAAGCCTTAATTAAAATTAAATATAAATCAGAGTTGCATTTTAATAAGATTTTTTTAAAAGTATTTCATTTTTCAGACTCAAAGCGCTGCAATATTTTTAGGCAGCAGTCTCATCCCACGCTGAGGATTTGGGGCCATTGCAGTGAAGATCCTCAGCTCAATTTTGTTTTTCAGACTTCATAGATGGAGCCTGTGTGACCCTGTGACATTTTTGAAGAAACCACATGCACCTGGGCTTGGGGTAAATGTCAGGCCCTTATCTCAGTCTGAAACAAATGATCTGAATGCTTTCAACCTGGGGAAGGCACTTTAACCACAGCACTGAATAGAAAATGCATTGCAGTTCTTTTAAGGAAGTTCTTGTGCTCGTGCAATGTTTGTCAGGTAAAAAGATAAACCAACTGAACTAGAATTTAAACAAAATATTCAAACCAAAGCACATATTCTTTAGCATTTCTCAGTTTATGTTGTCAGGTTTCTCATGCGTTATTTTGCTTATTTAGGGTTTGAAAAAGGATGTCAGGTAAATTCCATGCTGTTGTTTCAAACATGAATTTTCATTGGTTTCTGCAGGTTTCTGGTGCAGTACAAAGGCACACTTGAGTCCCCATGGAGTAACTGTCACCTTGTGTTTGTGTTTTCAACTTCAAATCCTGTGAGGCCCTGAAATCTTTAAATTCAGAGTCAGAGCCCCACAGTCCCAACATGGCCATACCTGGGTCAGGGCAGGATTCTGCAGGAAGGGTGCATCATGTTCAACCAAATGAATTTTCCAATCATTTTCCCTTCCTTTATTATAATGACAACTGAAAAAATCCCCACTGTCAACATTCCTTTGCCCCATTCCACTCTTTGTGTTGGAAATGAATTTTCAGGCTGGATTTTGGGGTGATGATCCACATGCCTGTTCTGTCTTTGGCCTTTATTCCTCCTTAAATTCCCTTAAATTCTTCCTTTTATTCCTCCTCCTCCTTACACTGAAATGTTGGGTTTGGGCTTCCACTGATCCATTTGGATGAGGAAACCTTTTTTCCTTGGATTTCTTAGGGATCCCACAAGATTCTCGTGAAATCCTGGAATGCTTTGGGGTGGAAGGACCTTGAATCCCATCCCTGCATCCCAAACCTGTCTGGGACATTTCCAGGGATCCAGGGGCGGCCACAGCTGCTCTGGGAATTCCACCCAGCCCTCCCAGCGAGGAATTCATTCCTGATCCCTCTATTCTTTAGGAATATTCTTTTGGAAACACCCTCCCAAGATCTCAAATCATTTAAATGAATGTTTCTCCTCCCGTGACAATCCCAAATCCCACAAAACTCTTGCAATTACCAAGTGTGCTGTGGGATAAACCAGACCTTCCTTCCTCAAATCCCAATTTTCTGCCTTTTTTTCTCCTTTTCCCCCAGAATATTCCTGTTTCTGCTGCAGTGGGGCTGCTCCTCTGGGTTTGCAGGGTGTTGGCAGCATTTTCCCAAGGCAGCCCTTGTTAAGTGCAGGAGGAAATGAGTTAACTCAGCTCCTGCTGTTAAGCCCTGGAAATTGTGGTTAAGTCCTCAGCCATCATAAAAAAGGCAAACATTTGGTTTAAATAGAAAACTCTTCTGATTGTTAGATCAGCATTAGGAAAGGGCAAAAAAAAAAAAAAAAGGAGTTTATTTAGAATTTCTGCTCCAGCTGGGGACAGAATTTATGGCATTTTCACCAGGAATTGCCAGGAGGAAAAGAGCCAGAGCCACATTTATTTAATATATGTTGTGTTTCTGGGACTTGTCTGCTCTGAGGGTTGACAAGTTTAAAAAGTCTGCCGTAATAATTCTGGATTTTTAAGGAATAAAATTCCCTGAAAGAAAATCTATGAAATACAGAAATCTTCAGGAGCAACAGCACCAGGTCTCAGTTTGGAGGGTGAATATTTGGGAGCTCAAATGGAGTTTCACCATAATAAATCAGCTTTTTGCTCAGGGAGAGGTGGGGAGGTACTGGATGATTTTAGGGCAGCTCAATCACTTAATTATCTAAATCTCATCAAAATATTCCTGAGACATTTTTAGAGATAGAATTTAACATGCCAAAATTGCCACTGAGAATTTTACCCTCTAAGGGCATTTTTAAGCCTTTGGGGGTTTTTTATTACCATAAAGTTGCATTAAAAATGGTTTATTTGAACAATTTTAATTCAGTTACTGAGTTTAATACTTGGAGAAGCTTTTTGCTTCACTTTCTTAGTTTTATTTCAAGGAATCAAGTAGCAAAATCCTTTGATTTTTCTTCAGAGACAAATCTTGTCAAATAATATGGAAAATATTTGCATGGTTGGCAAGTCTGACTTCTTAAAATTCTTCTTTTTTCCTTGGATGTTTTTCCATGTGTAATTTTTGCTTTATTCTCTTTTCAAAAAATCTAATTTGAAAACTGGAACATGATTTTAAAAGGGAACAGTCAGCTTTATTCCAGATACAAAATTCTGAGACTTTCAGTCTAAGAAAGTTTCAGTTAATTGGGAAAAATCTGTCCAGCCTGTGGCCACTTGGATTTATTGTCATTTATTTTGGAAGTTACTGTGAATGGGATGTTTGTGCAGCAAAACAAAAATCTCTGTTAATTCTGGTACCCAAAAATCTAAAAAAGAACGATTGGGGTGCAACACAAAACTTTTTCCACCCATTTTTGTGTCCAGTCTCATAATTTGGGCTGAAAAGATTGATTTTCTGATGTCTCTTGGTGAGTATTATTTTGATTTTCTGTATTTCTGGAGTGACAGTTGGGAGTAAAATTGTATCAGAGGATAAAATCTGAATAAATCAGTGAATAAAATGTGTGTTTATCTGAATATAAATACAGAATGCAGCTGTTTCCTGTTGGTTTTCTGGACTTGAAACCTTTCACTTGTAAAAGTTTTGGGAATTGGTAATGTGTAAATGACAGTAGATAAAGAAGCTTGAGAAATGTGTAATGTACATTTATATAATACAGTGTTATCTACATAGATATTTATGTAATATTAATATATTTTATGCAGGAATTATGTATTATATTTTATGTACTTAAATATGTGTATTTATATATTTTATATATATTCTATATTTTATATATATAATATATAATATAATATATAATACATATATATAATATATTATATATTATATATAATATATATTATAAATATAATAAATAATATAAATATATTATATTTATATATGTAAATAATACATATATTTTTATATATTTACATATAAATTATATAGTATAAATAATTATAATATTATATATATATTCTATATAATATATATTCTATATATAATTCTATCTTTTATTTATTATGCTCTGTTGTACCTTACCATCAATATTATTTATTTTTATTATTATGTATCATATATATCTATTAAAAATAGATTTTTTTCCTTGCCCACAGGAACTCCAGTGTACTCAGTGTCCTGGGCCCCTGACTCTGACAAAGTTCTCTACACCTCAGGGCAGCAGCTGATTATTAAACCCCTCCAGCCAAATGCCAAAGTTCTGCAGGTACCATTCAAAATCTGATTCATTAATAAGATTTATTTCCAGAAATAAATACACAGCAGCCTTTCCCTTTTCTCTTGCTGAATTTGAATTTTTTGGATTAAAAATTTTAATGGATTTTTGGATGAAGGATTTTAATGCAGATTTGATTCTGCCTCGTCCGGGCTTTATTTAATTTATTCTTCTGCAAAATCATAAAATTGTTAAGATTGGAAAAAACCTCCGAGATCATCAAGTCCGCCGAGTGATGAATATTGAAAATAGGAGTTGTCAGAATTGTGGAATTGATTTTTTCCCTTTCAGTGGAAAGCCCACGATGGTTTGATTTTGAAAACTGACTGGAATTCAGTGAATGATCTGATCCTGTCTGCAGGGGAGGATTGCAGGTACAAGGTGAGCTCTGCTTCACTTCAACTCATGCCCAAAAACTTATGAGAGATCCTGAAATTTCTGAATTTTACCCTGGAAACCCAAAATGAAATGAGAAATCATCAATCACACTTTTCAAGAAAAAAATGTGTTATTTATAAATACACCTCACTCTGTAGTAAGATATAATTACAATTTTTTTTTAAAATACTGCAGAATAAAAATTGCTAAAATGGGGGTGAAACAAAAAGAAAAATATGTACCAATATAGAAGTGATTATTTGAATTAATGAAAGCTGACATATTAAATTAAAAGAGATAAAACTGCTGTTTTCTACTACAGGGACAGTGAATCCCTCAGTAAAATAAATATATTTTATTATATTATAATAAAAATAATATATTATAAAATATATATTATTATATTAATCTATTAATATATTTTAAAATATATTAATATATATTATTTGGATGCAGGAAATATAGTAATATAATCTGCATCCAAAATACAAAGCACCTTTTGAGTATCTTCCCTTAAATAAAAACTGATTTTTAAATGTGTCATGTGTTGGTTCTGTCATTTAATTCTGTAATGGCTGTGATAGAAAATACACAATTAAGACATTTTAAAAATCCAGTAAATTATTACATTGTTTTGTGGATTGATTTCCATTTTAAAAATCTCTGTATTTGGAAATTTGCAGGTTCTTTTATAGACTTGGAGCAATTTACAGGAAATAAAACTCAGGGGTGCAAAATATTTTATATAGAATATTTTACCCAGAATTGTGTGACATTTACCATGGCAAAAAGCAAGTCTGTTGCATTAAGTAATTATATATACATGTGTGTTGTATATATATTTATTTGTATTTATATTTGTATTTATATTTGTAGTTACACATAATTGACTTGGGCAATTATTTCTAAAATTTCTATGTCATGAGGGAAAATTATACTTCTGGAATAATAAAAGTACAAGAAGTGTATTTATAAAATATGAATGAGGTATTATATGGGTGATTTTCCCAGTTACACTTCATCATGAGGGAAAATTATAGTTCTGAAATGATAAAAATACAAAAAAATATATAAAACAAAAGTGAGATATATATTAAAATACATATATTATTAATATGAATAATATCAATATATCACAGGTGATTTTTAAAGTTACACTGGAAACATGAGGGGAAATTACACCTCCGCAGTAAGAAAAATACCAAAAATAGATATAAACCAAAACTGAACTGTAATATAGGTGATTTTTCAAATTACACTAAAACATGAGGGAAAATTATGTTTCTGGAATAGGAAAAACACAAAATATATATATATATAAACCAAAAGGGGGATGTATATTAAAATATATACTCTTTATATATATATATATAATTCAAGTGGTTTTTCAAATTACATTGAAAACGTGAGGGGAAATTACATTTCTGGAGTAACAACAATACAAAAAATATCTATATAAAACAAAAGCAAGACATATTAAATACCAATATTATTTATATATATATATTTTTACACATACACACATATGTATATATAATATATTATATATATATATATATATATATATATATATATATACACATGTATAATACGGATGATTTTTTCAAGTTCCCCTGAAAACATGAGGGGAAATTTCATTTCTGGAGCAACAACAATACAAAAAATATCTATATAAGACAAAAGCAAGACATATTAAATACCAATATTATTTATATATACATTTTTTACACATACACACACACGCACACACACACACACATGTATATATAATATATATATATATATATACACACATATAATACGGATGATTTTTTCAAGTTCCCCTGAAAACATGAGGGGAAATTTCATTTCTGGAGCAACAAAAATGCAAAAAATATCTATATAAAACAAAAGCAAGATATATTAAATACCAATATTATTTATATATATATATTTACACACTCACACACGTATGTATATATAATATATTATATATATATATATATATACACACACGTATAATACGGATGATTTTTTCAAGTTCCCCTGAAAACATGAGGGGAAATTTCATTTCTGGAGCAACAAAAATGCAAAAAGTATCTATATAAAACAAAGGCAAGACATATTAAATACCAATATTATTTATATATATATATTTACACACACACACACGTATGTATATATAATATATTATATATATATATACACACGTATAATATGGATGATTTTTTCAAGTTCCCCTGAAAACATGAGGGGAAATTTCATTTCTGGAGCAACAACAATACAAAAAATATCTATATAAGACAAAAGCAAGACATAATAAATACCAATATTATTTATATATATATTTTTACACATACACACACACATATGTATATATAATATATATATATACACATATAATACGGATGATTTTTTCAAGTTCCCCTGAAAACATGAGGGGAAATTACACTTCTTCAGTAACAAAAATACAAAAAAAATGCATATATAAACCAAAAATGAACTGTAATTTTTGCAGTTTTTCCAATTCCACTAAATCATGAGGGGGATTTATTTTTCTGGAATAATGCCAGTGCACCCAAAGTGTGCCATGGATGGAAATTGGGATGAAATTGGGATTTTGCTGCAGGTCTGGGACAGTTTTGGCCGTGTCCTGTACAATTCCCAGCCCCATGAATATCCCATCACTGCCATTGCCTGGGCTCTGGATGGAGAATTGTTTGCTGTGGGATCCTTCAACACTCTACGGCTCTGTGATAAAACTGGGGTGAGTCCAACTCTGCTCATTATTTTAGATAGATAAAAAAATAAATATATTAAACACATTTTAAATATTTTCAAGTTTTTAATATTTTATTTTCATTTTTTTAATTATTTAAAAATATTTTCCCGAGTAAATATCTGCAAATTTATTTTATATATCTCAAAAAAAATTATTAAATGTAATAAAATAGAAAATTCCACAGTAAAACTCTGGAAATTGTCCAAATTTATTGATAATACAGCAAATATTCCTCAGGATATCAGTGTACAGGTGGGTGTTTTATTAGCAAAAATGCTTGTGATTGCCAGCACATTTTTGCTGACCAGAATATTTTATTTTTAATGATATTTTGCCTTTTGGGACATGAAATTTTTACCTGAAAACCACAGAGTTCACAAGCATCTCTTATGGTCATAACTAATCACAAATTGCTATTTTTAACCATAAAAAAAGGAGTGTATAACAATAACCTGATAGAAAAGGAAGTGTAAAAACCATTTATTATTATATTTTATTGTACTATAACCACTTTTATTATTTAATCCCTTTTCCCCTTGAAGGTTTACCCCTGAATTATTATTTTTATAGGGTTTTTTGCAGCTTTGTCTCCAATTAAAATCAATTTAATGCAGTTTCACCTCCCTTCACTGGGAGCACAGATTGTCCTCATTGTCTTTGGCTTTCCTGAACATTTTTACTCAGATTTTTTGCAGCAAACTTTGATTTTTTGGGACTTTTGTTGTCCTGGTTTCTTGTTGTGTTTATTGCTTTTTTCTGGGAAGAAAATTGCTGTGGTGTTTTGGGTGTGTTCAGTCAAACCATGAATTTGAAATGTGAATTTCAAATATTTTAAATTCATGAAGAGGAACCTTTAAAGATTATTTGAGAAAAGGTATGAGGTTAAAGGTATAAGGTTATAATAATAGGTTACAAGGTTGTAATAATGGTATAAAAGGTAGAAGGTTTAAATTAAAGATTATTTGAGAAAAGATAAAAGGATAAATCTGAATTTTCCTACTTCACCTTCTGTAGTGATTCTGATTTCACTGATTTTCACTGACAGTGTATAAATAGAATTTAATTACAAATTTATAAGTAAAATTTAATTACAGTTATCTAGAAGGAAAAGTACTAAATGCAGTTTTCTTTTGCAAAGTGTCAATTTGCTGATTTAAAAATGATTTATTTTGATATCTACAGATCTATAATTGAATTTACTGTTACATCTGGCTCAGACTCCTGCAAGCTAAAAAGCAATGTTTAAATCAGCAATTAATACTGAACTGGTCATTGGGGATTTTAATGCAGACAGGCTTATTTCTTGTAGAAAATTAAGATTATTTTACCTGAGATGATGATGATGGTGATGATGATGATTATTATTATTCTTAGTATTAGTATTATTATTAATATTATTAGTAGTATTAGTACTATTATTTTATACATGAGTTTATTAAGACTTTATTATTTATTTTTTTTAAAATGTTTATTTTATCTGAGTTTATTAAGAGTTTATTATTTATTTTTTATTATTATTTTATACCTGAGTCTATTATTTATTAAGAGTTTATTACTCATCTCTTAAACACAGATGAGCTGCAGCCAGCTGCTCTGTGTATTTTGCACTCAATGCTCTTTATTCTCATTTTTTCCTACCTCCCTGGCATGTCAGGCAGCTTCGTGGTAAAGAGCAAAGTGACACATTTAATATTAATATTTTAATTGCGTTTCTTCAATTAAAAATCATGAAAAGAAATTATGTATTTACCTATAAAATAAATTATTATGGTTGTCCTATAGGCAAGTTGTGTTCCCAAGGCCTTGGGAGTGTATAAAGTGAGATCAGTGATAAAAAATAATAAAAATGAAGCACTGGTCAAATTAATCATTTTAATTAGTAAATAGGGGCATCCAATTTATATTTAAATAATGTTGAATATATTTCTGCAATTTCTGCTGTGCCCCCTTTGGGATAATTTCATGTGCCCAAAAGTCAATCCAATCTTTACATTTAACTTCAATCCCATGATTTTTATTATTGATTTCCTCTGTAAGACTTCAAATATATTTGGATATGCAGGTAGTTCTCCAATTTTTAAACTACATTTAAAAAATATTCTATTACATAAAGAGGAAATAACTGAGATTGGCTTCTTGTTCTAAAATCTGCTTGAATATCTTCCTGAAATTCCCAACAAAGATTATTTCATTCTCATTTGTCATCCATTTTCAGGGAACCAGCTCTTTGGAGATTCAGGATGATTCGTGTTTCTGATATGCAGGGAATTTTTAAAATGTCTTGGTCTGGAAATTCTAATTTTTGGCATTTTATTTAATAAGGATCTAAACTTCGGGGGAGTCTCATGGATAAGGCTGAGGGAATTAAGAATTAAGGTATTTGCTGGAGGAAATTTTTGATTAATCCTTCATTTGGACAGTAACAGAGTGGAGGAAATGTAATTATTTCTTTAGCACCTTAATTTTATGTAGTGATTGCCTGGATTTATGAATGAGAACACACTTGGAATAAATCATGAGTAGAAAACTGATACCTGATGTACTTCCAACATTGTGACTTCTGAATTTCTGCTTTACCTGCTGCTTTTCCTTTTATTTATTTCCCAAACTGACATAAACATCCAATGCCAACTCATCAAAAACTCCATTTATTGTCACTGCTTGAAAAATCCCAACCCTGCAAACGAATTCCTGACAAGAAATAATTTCTAAAAGCGCAGAGTGAGTGAAATTATGATTTTTTTTCTTGTTTCCAGTGGTCTTATGCCCTGGAGAAGCCCAACACTGGCAGCATTTTTGCCATTTCGTGGTCCATCGATGGCACCCAGCTGGCAGGAGCCTGTGGGAATGGCCAGGTCATCTTTGCCCACGTGGTGGAGCAGCACTGGGAGTGGCAGAACTTCCAAATCACCTTGATTAAGAGGAGAACCATGAAGGTAAAATCCACTTCCAAATCACCTTGATTCAGAGAATAACCATGGAGGTAAAATCCACCTCCAAATCACCTTTATTAGGGAAGAGCCATGAAGGTAAAATCCACTTCCAAATCACCTTGATTAAGAGAATAACCATGGAGGTAAAATCCACCTCCAAATCACCTTAATTCAGAGAACCATGGAGGTAAAATCCACCTCCAAATCACCTTAATTCAGAGAACCATGGAGGTAAAATCCACCTCCAAATCACCTTGATTCAGAGAACCATGGAGGTAAAATCCACCTCCAAATCACCTTAATTCAGAGAACCATGGAGGTAAAATCCACCTCCAAATCACCTTGATTCAGAGAATAACCATGGAGGTAAAATCCACCTCCAAATCACCTTAATTCAGAGAACCATGGAGGTAAAATCCACTTTCAAATTACCTTAATTCAGACAAGAACCATGGAGGTAAAATCCACTTTCAAATCACCTTGATTCAGAGAATAACCATGGAGGTAAAATCCACTTCCAAATCACCTTAATTCAGAGAACCATGGGGGTAAAATCCACCTCCAAATCACCTTAATTAAGAGAAGAACCATGAAGGTAAAATCCACTTCCACAATACCTTAATTCAGAGAATTATGAAGGTAAAATCCACTTCCATATTACCTTAATTAAGAGAAGAACCATGGAGGTAAAATCCACTTCCAAATCACCTTAATTAAGAGAACCATGGAGGTAAAATCCACCTCCAAATCACCTTAATTCAGAGAAGAACCATGAAGGTAAAATCCACCTCCAAATCACCTTGATTCAGAGAACCATGGAGGTAAAATCCACTTTCAAATTACCTTAATTAAGAGAAGAACCATGAAGGTAAAATCCACCTTCAAATTACCTTAATTAAGAGAAGAACCATGAAGGTAAAATCCCCTCAGAGCTGGGCAGCCCCATCACAAAGCTCATTTAAGGCAAAATGGGAATTTTGGATTGAATTTGTGTTCCCAGACATTGACTCACAAGGTTTGTTCTGTGGGATAATCAAGATTTCCATCCTTCCACATTTTCCAAATTACCCATTTGGGGCTTTTCAGCATCGAGTTCCTAAATGCCTAATGAGACCCTTTAATGGTTTTTTTCATTTTGATGCTGGGTTTGGAATTGGGAAGAGTTGGAGCAGCAGCAGGGCTGGATTTGGGGTTGGGGCCGTGGGTGGGTGCTGTGAGTCAGTGTCTGGGAACACACAGCACAAATCAGCCCAAAATTCCCAATTTTTCCCCTCATTCCCAGACATCGACTCGTTCCAGATGTGCTTGGGAATGATCTCCATGGGATTTGAATTCTCTAATTGAGTATGCAAAGACTGAGGAAGTGAAGCTCACCCTGACTCATTTTTAATTCTCATTCCTTTACACTGATTTTATTCCTATGTATTATGTAGGAAAATCCTACAAAATCCTACCAAAAACTTGCAGATGGATTTTTTTCCCCTGAGTATTACAATGGCAAAGTTAATTAGTGATGCTGTGGTGGGCGTGGCAATTAACATATCCTTGGATATATGTTAATTATTGCATATATGTTAATATATGCATATATTTATATGCCCATATATAATTATTGCATATATAGACATGGCAATTAACATGTCCTTGGATATATGTTAATTATTGCATATATGTTAATATATGCATATATATATATGCCCATATATAATTATTGCATATATGGGCATGGCAATTAACATATCCTTGGATATATGTTAATTATTGCATATATGTTAATATATGCATATATATATATGCCCATATATAATTATTGCATATATAGGCATGGCAATTAACATATCTTTGGATATATGTTAATTATTGCATATATGTTAATATATGCATATATATATATGCCCATATATAATTATTGCATATATAGGCATGGCAATTAACATATCCTTGGATATATGTTAATTATTGCATATATTTTAATATATGCACATATATATATGCCCATATATAATTATTGCATATATAGGCATGGCAATTAACATATCTTTGGATATATGTTAATTATTGCATATATGTTAATATATGCATATATATATATGCCCATATATAATTATTGCATATATAGGCATGGCAATTAACATATCTTTGGATATATGTTAATTATTGCATATATGTTAATATATGCATATATATATATGCCCATATATAATTATTGCATATATAGGCATGGCAATTAACATATCCTTGGATATATGTTAATTATTGCATATATGTTAATATATGCATATATTTATATGCCCATATATAATTATTGCATATATAGGCATGGCAATTAACATATCCTTGGATATATGTTAATTATGTTAATAACATATTCCTTGCAATAATTGAGGTCAGTCCATGTTCTGCAGTTGGTGCATAATGGAAACATCAGAAGGAAGTTACCACCCTCAGAATGGTGACATCTTCAAAAAAAAAACCCCAAACCCCACCAAAAAAACAGGAAAATTTTTTTGTTTAAGGCCCCCCATGGATTTTTAGCTCCCCAAAATCTCTGAGCTGAAAAATCTCTGCTGATTTGAGGCAAATTCTGATTTTCTTGAGCAAATTTTAAGCAGAATAACAAAACCACAGCCTGCTCACCCAGCCTGTCTCCTGGATTTCCTGTGCTTCCAGCTGTGGGATCATAAAACTTCCAGAGCTCTGCAGCACCTTCATCCCAATGCTGGACATGGCTGGATTGTTTGGATGAAGTGTTTATTTAAATAACACACATTTAAATTTATTTAAATAACAGTGGAATAAACATTGGCGTGTTCATTTCAAATACTCAATTTATCAACAGCTGAACAATCTGAAAATGGGAATTTTTAAATTAAATAGATATAAAATAAAAATATGTAAAATAAAAAATGTAAATTAAAAATATAACCAAACTCAAAATAAAAAAAGATCATAATTGAAGTATCTATTTAATTAACTAAACCTTACACCATTATAAAAAAACCTTTTAAAATAAACATATTAATTGTAATTATATTTATACCTTACCTACTTCAACATATCCAACAAATTTAACAAAACAATCAAAACAATATTCAGAGTTCAAGCACTCCTCCATCTCGAATTATTTTCTCAGCAGGAATATTTGATGAATTAATTAGAATTTCAGCTCATTTATTTCTTTCCCTGTGCTCAGGTGCACAATGTCATCAACGACGCCGTGGATCTGCTGGAATTCCGGGACAGGGTCATCAAAGCCTCCCTCAGTTGTGGATATTTGGTGGTCTCCACTTCCCTGCAGTGCTACGTGTTCTCGTGAGTGATGCAAATCCCTCACTTTCTGTGCAAAAGAAAGTGCAAGAATTCATTTATTTTTCTTTTTTTTTTTTTTAATTTTACTTTTAATTAGTTGGTATATTCAATGGAAGATCTGCTCGGTGAATGCTAGTGCAGATCGTGGTGAAAGAGTCAGAAATATTTAAAATATTTTGGAAATAAAATAAAATATATAAGCGTAGTTTTGCTCATTTTTGCTTGCAGTGTTATATATTTTCATGAGTAAAGCAAAAAAAAATCCTCCCACTCACTTTGTGTGGAAAAGTGGCAGCAGCTTCATTGGAAGCACAAAAATTAATTTATTTAAATTTTTTTTTTTAATTTTACTTTTAATTAGTTGATATATTCAATGGAATATCTGCTCGGTGAATGCTAGTGCAGGTCGTGGTGAAAGAGTCAGAAATATTTAAAATATTTTGGAAATAAAATAAAAATAAAATAAAATATATAAGCATAGTTTTGCTCATTTTTGCTTGCAGTGTTACATATTTTCATGAGTAAAGCAAATTCCTCTTCCTCACATTGTTTGGAAAAGAGTGGCAGAAAGTTGATTGGAAACATGACAATTATTTTTATTTATTTATTTATTTATTTATTTATAAATGTTATTTTAATTAATTGAAATATTCAGTGGAATATCTGCTCAGTGAATGCTAGTGCAGATCACTGTATAAGAGTCAGAAATATTTAAAATATTTTAGAAATAAAATAATCCATATAAATATAATTTTGCTAATTTTTCTGTACAGTGTTATGTGTTTTCATGAGTTAAAAAATTCCTCTTCCTCAGATTGTTTGGAAAAGAGTGGCAGAAACTTGATTGGAAGCATGAGAATTAATTTAAATTTTTTAAAATTTATTTTAAATTAATTGAAATATTCAATGGAATATCTGCTCAGTGAATGCTAGTGCAGATCACTGTAAAAAGAGTCAGAAATATTTTAAATATTTTAGAAATAAAATAATCCATATAAATGTAACTTTGCTAATTTTTCCCTGCAGTGTTATATATTTCCATGAGCAAAGCAAATTCTTCTTCCTCACATTGTTTGGAAAAGTGGCAGAAGCTTCATTGGAAGCACGAGAATTAATTTCTTTTTAGCTTTTTTTTTAATCTATTTTAAATTAATTTTTATACTCAATGTAGTACCTGCTCAGTGAACACTAGTGCAGATCACTGTAAGAGTCAGAAATATTTACAATATTTTAGAAATAAAATTAAATAATCCATATAAACATAATTTTGCTAATTTTTCCCTGCAGTGTTACATACTTTTATGTATTTTAATGCTGATTTTTTATCTTTGCAGGACAAGGAACTGGAACACTCCATTGATTTTTGACCTGAAGGAAGGAACTGTGAGTTTGATTCTCCAAGCAGAAAGGTACCTGGCTTCTTAAAAGGCTCATTATGGACAGAATGTAACTATTAAATAAATAAATTTAATTATTTATTGTATTTATAAAAATAAATATATTTATTTGTTACGTTTTCTCTATTATAAATATGTGTATTATATTCAGAATAAATTTATTTATTGTATGCACATATATATATATATAATGAAAAAAAATATGTTCAAATTGAAATACCAGAAATAAACAAAAAATACCCAGGTAAAATCATGAATATTTGACTAATAAATATTTCTCCTGGAAAAAATAATGCATTAAAACCAAACTTTTCCATACAGAACTTCCAGAATATCTTGAAAATATAAAGCTCGGGAATGATGGAAGCTGGAAGAACAGTTGCAGGATATTAAACAGTGACTTTCCCATTGTGGAAAATACCATTTTTTATATTATTTACTAATTTACTTCTTTATTGTTGGGTTTTTTTCCTTTTTTTTAGGCATTTTCTTCTTGTTGATGGTGGAGGGCTTTATTTATATTCCTATGAGGGCAGGTTGATTTCCTCCCCAAGGTACCCAGGCATGAGGACAGACGTTCTGAACGCCCTGACGGTGTCCCTGAGCAGTGACACCCTGGCAGTGAAGGACAAGGCTGATGGGAAGGGTAAATCCTGCTTTATTTAGCACAAAAATACATGTATTTATTAAAAAAATCGATTCAAGTTATGGGTCATTCATTTAAAAACTTCAAGAGAATGGTTTGGCTCTGAATTTCCAGTTGATCCATGGAATATTTACAGAAAATAATGGAATAAGTTTTTATTCCCTGATGGGATTTTTCAATTTTCTCTCTTTCTAAACATTCCCAGCGATGGAATTGTGGGTTAAGATAGAGTCCATCTAATGTTGGAAATGTGGATTTATTTAAATTATGGATGCAGGCTTTTATCACAATTTGGTGTGGTTTCTGGAAATGACCCCCATTTGAGACGGGAAATGAAGAATAGGGATAGGAAGTGAAAATTCAGGTTTTTATAAGATTTTTTTCACCACCATGTGAAAATCTCTGGTGAAACTCACACGGAATATTTTATCCACTTGCACTAAATTACACTCAGAAAAGAATGGAATTCCTGGAAAAATCCATTAAGAACTTCTGCTTTTATTAATAAAGTATATCATTATTTTCCTTCAGTTATCTACATCTTTGAAGCTTTATCTGGGAAGCCCCTGGGTGATGGAAAACCTCTGACCCACAAGGTAAAGTGAAGGCTTTAATGTCTTTATTTCACTCAGAAATTAAGAATCACTAATGCTTTTCCTCAATAATGGCACTAAAAACACATTAAGGGATTTAAAATCTTAATAGAAAGGAGCTTTTCAGCTGACTTTTAATGCTTTGTGTTGTCTTCAGAATTGTTTTAGTCTTTGTGAAATTCAGTTTATAAGATCACAGAATCATGGAATGGGTTGGGTTGGAAGGGACTTTAAAATAATCTTTATTTTAACCGTATGAAATTATTTATTCCCAGAGAAATCACACACAAAATGTTTTTCCAACCCAGTTTATCCAAGAATTTTGCTGCCTTGTTTTTAGGAAAAAAGATCAATTTGAATGTCCAGATATAAAATCTCCAAAATAAAAATCAGAGATCCTCTTTTATCTTTCCAGACGGAAATTGTGGAGATTGCTTTGGACCAGAAAGGACTGACAAGTGAGAGAAAAATAGCTTTTATTGATAAGAACAGAGATCTTTTCATCACCTCAGTGAAGAGGTTCGGGAAAGAGCAGAAGATTGTCAAAATAGGTGAGAAAAATTCAAATTGGTCTTTGAGAAGATGCTGGGATGGAAATAAATTTGTAATTAATACAAGAGACAACATTTTGCTTAATTAATAGTGAAATCAAATTTGGGAAAAAAACCTTTTGCTTTTATATGATAGTGGTAGAGACAATTTCAGTAAATTTTATCTAAATTCTGTTGATTTTTCTATCATTTCCATCCAAAGCAGCTTTTAAAATGCTACAAATTTGGGGCTAAAGCCTTAAAAAAGCAACCAAAAATGCTGAGTAACCACCCTGTTATAATTCCCTTTATTTTGAAGTTTCTCCTGGTAATGTTTTATGTATTTCTTTATCTATTTATTCATTTATTATCATTATTTGTTGTCTGTAAATGCAGGGACGATGGTGCAGAGCTTGGCCTGGAATGACAGCTGCAACATCCTCTGTGGCATTCAGGATTCCAGGTTCACAGTCTGGTATTATCCCAACACCGTCTATGTGGATAAAGACCTTCTCCCAAAAACCCTTTATGAAAAAGATGCCAGGTAAGAAATCCTTTTTAATCCAAATATGATTTATTTTAACTGTTCCCCTCATCTCTTAACAAATTGTGCTTGGGAGAATTAAACCTGGCCTTGCAACTGGGTAAATTCTCCTGTTTCTTGCTTGGGAAATGAGGAAAACAGGGTTTATAAGGGAAATTATAAGTTTAGGGTTGAAATGATGATGCAGGGTTGGAAAGCAGAGCAGCATCTTGAGGTAAAAGCAAAATTTGTATTTTTTCTCATAAAATTTTACCTCAGGTTTTGTGAAAAAAAAAACCCAGAAAAGATTTGTTCCGATGACGTCGGCTATTAAAAATAGCAAAACACCACATCACAAATAATCAATCTTAAATCCTTTTCTTGTAAAATCAACAAAATACTGACTGATTTTCCTTTCTGTGAGCAGCGAGTTCAGCAAGAGCCCTCAGATCGTGAGCTTTGTGGGGAACCAGGTGACCATCAGGAGGGCAGACGGGTCCCTGGTGCACCTGCACATCTCCCCGTACCCCGCCATCCTGCACGGCCACGTCAGCTCCTCCCGCTGGCAGGACAGCCTCAGGCTCTGCAGGTTTGTCAAGGTACAGCACAAACCTCCATTTTGGCAACATTCACTGCCATTTTTATAGTTTTGGGTGTTCTTCCATAGTTATCTCTCCACATCAAATGGTACAGCTCATTTCCAGCCAGCTCCTCCTGCTGACACAATGGGCTCAGGCTCTGCAGGTTTGTCAAGGTACAACACAAACCTGCTTTTTGGCAATATTCACAACCATTTTTATGGTTTTGGGTGTTCTTCAATAGTTATCTCTCCACATCAAATGGTACAGCTCATTTCCAGCCAGCTCCTCCACCTGGCAGGATGGGCTCAGGCTCTGCAGGTTTGTCAAGGTACAATTCAAACCTCCATTTTGGCAACATTCACAACCATTTTTATAGCTTTGGGTGTTCTTCCATAGTTATTTCTCCATATCCAATGGTACAGCTCATTTCCTGCCAGCTCCTCCACCTGGCAGGACGGGCTCAGGCTCTGCAGGCTTGTCAAGGTACAACACAAACCTGTTTTTTGGCAATATTCACAACCATTTTTATGGTTTTGGGTGTTCTTCAGTAGTGATCTCTCTATATCCAATGGTACAGCTCATTTCCAGCCAGCTCCTGCTGCCGGCCTCAGGCTCTGCAGGTTTGTCAAGGTACAATACAAACCTGGTTTTTGGCATATTCAAAACCATTTTTATGTTTTTGGATGTTCTTCAGTTGTGATCTCTCTATATCAAACGGTACAGCTCATTTCTTGCCAGCCCCTCCACCTGGCAGGACGGGCTCAGGCTCTGCAGGCTTGTCAAGGTACAATACAAACCTCCATTTTGGCAATATTCACAATTTTAATGGTTTTGGGTGTTCTTTAATAGTGATCTCTCCATATTAAATGGTACAGTTCATTTCCTGCCAGCTCCTGCTGCTGGCCTCAGGCTCTGCAGGCTTGTCAAGGTACACCTCGATTTTGGCAACATTCACTGCCATTTTCATGGTTTTGGGTGTTCTTCCATGGTTATCTCTCCATATCAAATGGCACAGTTAATTTCCAGCCGGCTCCTCCCGCTGGCAGGACGGGCTCAGGCTCTACAGGCTTGTCAAGGTACAACTCAAACCTGTTTTTTGGCAATATTCACAACCATTTTTATGGTTTTGGGTGTTCTTTAATAGTGATCTCTCCATATCAATGGTACAGTTCATTTCCAGCCTGCTTTGTCACTCTTTTTGTCACTTGTGGAAAATGAGGTGGTTTCCTTAATTCCAGGACATCATCATTCCACAAGTTCCTTGATAAATAATAATTCTTGTTTTTAGCCACACCAGAATCCTGCAGGATTGAACACAGGTGGTCACAGAATTCAGTTCTAAACTAAAATTTTTTTAAAGTTTTTAAACTTAAGGTCTTGGCCTTAATATACCCAATATTTAAGGTCTGAGCCTTAATATTTCCTTAGACCTATAAGACCTTAAACCTTTAACTTTAAGGTCTGGGCCTTAACCAATGAAAAATGACATTTCCACAATTACCTGTTAATTTCCTTATTTTATTTCACTTCTTTTTATTTTTTTTCCTTTTCCATTGCTTTCTTTTGTATTTATTTAGACAACAGCAACAGATGAGGTGAGTGTGGTAGTTTATAAAACAACAAAATCCCTTCAAACCTTCCTTCCCATTTATTCCTTGAAAAGTTTAGTACCTTAAATGTGTATTTCAGGTATTTGTGTAACCAATTATTAAATTAATGCACATCCAGATAATTTGGGTTGCATTAGTAGAATTATTTGTAACAGAATCTTTATTTGCAGTGTCCACATCACCTGATTTAAGCATCCAGGTCAGGATATTTTGATTTTGGCAGTCCAGGTAGAGAGTACAAAGTATTTCCAATCAGGAATAACAAAATGAGTCATTTTTTGAGGGGGAAAAAAGCAGCAAGAAGCAACTTGGAACCATCAGAATAATAATTTCATCTCCTGAATAATTTCAGGCTGAGCTTTCAGCATTTTATCACCTGGTTTTCTAAATAAAAGGGAAATGGGAAGAGAATGTGACAAAGACTTTAGAAGCATTTGATTCTCTGAATAATCTTAATTTTCCCAAATTCTGGGCTTCCTGCAGGAGGGTTTTTCCTGATGGAAAAGTCACTTGGGAAATGTGGGAATGTGTTTAGAACACCCTCAGTGCAGCTGCTCATTGTGATTTCAATCAAGAGTGATCCTTCCAAAACCTTCACAGTGCAAACTCTTTTATTTCCAGATTTGTTACTGAACACACTCAACAAAATTCTCCTTAATTCCTGGACCAGCAAGTCCAAAATTACATTTTTCCTGTCTGAATAGAGTTTTAGATGTTGTAGCCTAAACTATATTAAAATATGGTGTATTAGTGTGTGTTTGTCATAATGTTGTCACTTGAAAATCCATCAAAATGTCATTTAGGGTCTTCCTAAATTCTGAGCTCATGGGGTTTCATCAAGGTTGTGTGAAATACCCGAAAAACCCTCACAGAAACAATAAAAGTAATAAATAAATAAATAAATAAATAAATATGTGTGTATATATATGTATATCTCATAATAATAGAGTTAAAAAGTAATATATACAAGTATAAATATAGACAAGTAAATAAAATATATAAATGTATATATTTGTTTATAAATTGATAAATAAATAAAATACAAATATATAATTTAAAGTTATATATAAAATAATAATAAAAAGGTGTAATATTATTATTGCCATGAAGTTTTTCTAATTCCTAATTCTGAGAAATAATGAATCATTTCCTAATAAGAGACTTCAGAGCACAGTGCCATAAATGACACTCAGAGAAATTTAATATTACACATAATTTTTAAGCCTTGTGTAGGTGCTTTGAGGAGTCATTAGCAGCATGATAATGAACATTTGGAGCTTTCCAAGTTGTTTTTATTTTGGATTTCAGGACCAGACCCTGTGGGCTTGTTTGGCTGCCATGGCAGTGGCCAACAAGGACATGAGCACAGCTGAAATCGCCTATGCAGCCATTGGAGAGGTGAGAAAGCGCAGTTAGAAAATGGAATTAAATCCAATTAAATCATTACCAATCCAGGCTGATGAATGCATTAATGAATGTCCTTGCTTGGGCAGATTGACAAGGTGCAGTACATCAATGCCATCCAGGAGCTGCCCTCCAAGGAGTCCAGGCTGGCTCACATGCTGCTCTTCAGTGGCAACTGCCAGGAGGCTGAAACCCTCCTGCTGCAGGCTGGCCTGGTGTACCAAGCCATCCAGATCAACATTAACCTTTACAACTGGGAGAGGTAGGAGTTGTTTGTCATTAAAATACGTTCTCCTAATTATTTCCATCCGTTGTTTTATTGCTGACTCATTTCTTATCTTTTAATCGCCCACGACTTCAAAAAAAGCTAATTAAATCATAGCCAAGAAAACAGCGTTTTTGTGTTGAGAAAATACAAATATTTGGTGAGAAAAGCCCAAAATATTCCTGGAAACATTTTGAAATAACATTTTGCTTTCTCATCGCTGCTAGCGCAGAGCAGCCCTCAGCGATGCCCCAGACTGGCTGTGGAATTTGGGCTGCTTGGAAATGTCTTGCTGCTAAAAATAAAATTGTGGCTACCCAGACTCCCAGCATTGTGTAGGTGGAGAAAATATGAATTAAGGCTGAGAAAACAAAGGAGGAATTTCTCCTTTAAACAAATCCCCCACGTTTTCTGAGAGAATCCTCTGAGTTGTTTACTCCTAATTTCTCTGCTGTTCTATTGATATATTCAGGCAAAAGGTTGATTTTCCCCCACAAATCTGTAATTTTGTTTTGTTATGAAGCTGTGACTGGGGAGGTTTGAGATGGATATTAGGACAAGAATATTCTTTTATTCTGTCATCTAAAAACTCACTGTAGGTCAAATATAAATAAAGAACAAGTGTTCTTAAGCCATTGAGCAGAAACCAAGGGTGAGTCATGAAATAAATTAATCCAGTGTCTGCCCTTTTCCACCTATACCATATTTATAAATATTCTATAGAATATATCATGAATGTGTATTATGAGTGTTCAGAACCAATTTCTGACTAGAAAGAAGTCATTAAACATTATTATTTTAGTGCTAAACTCTGAAATATTCTGCATTTCCCTGAAATAAAAAGCCTCCTGGGCTCAAATTAATGGTGTGATGAGGTTGTCAGTGGGAATAATTGTTGGAATTTTGAAAATTTTTCCATCACTGGCTGCTTTGAACCTCCTGATGCTGCTGTGGGGTTGGATTTGGGATCTCTGCCCTCACCCTCAGAGTTTCTGGGTGATTCCAGAGCATTTCCCCAACCTTTGCTGCTCTCCTGCAGGGCCCTGGAGCTGGCAGTGAAGCACAGGACACACGTGGACACGGTCCTGGCTTACAGACAGAAATTCTTGGAGGATTTTGGGAAAAAAGAAACCAACCAAAGGTTTCTGCAATATGCAGAAGGGGTAAGTGTCCCTCGGGGCTGTCCCTGCTGGAGGGTGGGGTGGGTTTGCTCCTCTGCCTTCCTTCTGTGCCTCAAAAGTGAACAGAAATGTGGAATTTTTACAGGTTTTGGCCTAAGACTGGCCAGGAATAGCTGGGCATGGGTTTTGTTTGAAGATTCACAATAAATATATTTTATATCTGGTAAGGATCACACAAGTGGAGGCACAGTTGTTTTCTATAAACAGGGAATTAAACTTCACCATGGCTCAATGAATCTCTCAAATATTTCCAACATTTTCCGTGGCATTTTATGGATAGAAACTGTAACAAACTTTGAAGGAATCTGGATATTTATAAACTGCAAACCATTCTGATTTTAAATATAATAAACAGTTCAATATACATTTATTGGAAACCCTCTGCATCCCCAGGAAATCAATTTATTAGTGTTTCACACATGCTGAAATTCAGCAGCTGGATCTTGGATTCCACAGGAATATTCCCACACAGGAGAGGCACAATTAGAGACACAATTCCCTCCTGTCCCTCCTGCTTCTCCCCTCCTTTTTCTCAGCATCCTGAGGGAGAAATGATCCCAAAAAACCTTTCCTGTGTGTGGAATCCTTGTATCCCCTGCAGCTGAAGCAGAGAGCACCTGGGCTGGGAATTCTCCTCCTTCCATGGGCACTTGGAATAAAGCTGGATTTCTAATGGAAGGCATTAGCTGTTAGCACTCATTTCCTAAACAAAATCATTCCCTAATGAAGCATTCCACAGTAATTTACCTGGAAAATAGAGCACAGATTCCAGGCATTTTTATGCTACAGCATTTCCAGCTCTGTGTGTTCTGCAAAACCCATTACAGAGCAAAAATCGCAGAAATTCCCTGATGCTTTGGAGATAATCCTGATTTTCTAAAAATCCTGGAGTAAGCTGTAGATTCCATCATGATTCCCAAGAAATTCCACCTTGGCATTGACAAGGTGTGAGCAGGATGATTTTTCAGCTTACTCAATCTTGAAATTTAGAAATTTTGAAGCTTTCTAAAATTTGACTTGGAAATTTGGAGATTTTCTTGAAATTTGAATTTCTCACTCAGGAGGTTTCTGGAAGGAAGAAGTCCTTTTCCACATCCAGGTGCTGGAGGTCTTTGCTGGATCTGTGGATAGGAGGGATCCACATCATGTGAATTTTAAGCTGTAATTAAATTTTGCATGGAGCCTGTCTGACTCATAAAGCAAAATCAGAAAAAAAATTGAAAAGAAAAGCAAGATTTTGTGCAGCTGTTCCTTCTCAGGATAAAAAAGGGTCTCAGTTTCCCTCTCACAACCTCAAACCTCTTCAGGCTTAAATAACTTAAATAAAAAGTTTTCCCCTCTTTTCTGCAGCCAGGCAGGAGCTGAAATGGTGCAGATTTTATATATCAGGTTCTCAATACTCACACATATCCTGAGACTCCTGGGCCCAGTCAGTGCCTCCAGAACTGAGTTGTTATTATATTTTCACCTGATAATGTGGGTGTTTCATTGTTTAATTTCACTTTCCCCCTTGGAGAATCTCCCCTGTTATTCCATTGCTTAATTCCAGAGGGAAATTCCCTGTGCATCCCTTGAAATTCTTCTCCCATCCCACCTTTGCCAGTGTTCATTCTCCAGCAATAAACTGAAGTGCACAGTGACATTTTTGGACGAGTTTTTATGGCCATCAAATGCACCATGATGTATTTTTTATTTCCTTGTCAAGCATTTTTTGGGGCAAGAAACAACTTTTCTGCCCCCATTTGTGCTGTGTGCATTGCCTGGGGTTTCACTGTCACCAGCACAGGCAGAAAATGCCAATTCTGTGCAGCTGGAGAAATTCCAGGGTTAAATAGGGTTAAAACTGAAAAAACTGAGCATTTATTGATGCACAAGGGCAGTTTCAAGCAGGAACCTGATTGCTGTTGGAGCAGATATAATATCTGTTTAATATCCGTTTAATATCAGTTTAATATCAGCTCTTGGAGGAGACATCCCTCCTCAATTAATGATGCAGGGCTGAATTTTCAGTAACAGGACACTGATGTCATGCTACTGAATTAGCAGCAGGTTATTTTTGTTTTATTGGTTTTATTTCCAGACACAATTTAGAGATTTATTAAAATAGCTCAGCCTTGGTTTGTTTTAAAGGTGAAGCTCAGTTAGAGCTCAGCTGTGCCTTGAGATCTCCATGAGTTTGGGTACCCAACACTTGATAATTGTATTTTTAAATGGAATAACTGACCTGGCTCTCTCTGATGTCGAGCTCTGTGTGTTTCCTTTCTCTCTTCTTGCAGCTGGAAGTGGATTGGAATAAAATCAAAGCCAAAATCGAGATGGAAATTGCTAAAGAGAGAGAACGAGCAGCAGCCAGTGCTGCAGGGAGGAGCAGTGTGACTGTGCAGCAATAATTCACATTTTGGGCACCTCCAAAGTGCTGCTTCAGTGTTTGGTGCTGCTTTGTTGCGAAAACAAAGCCACAGCAAACATTCTGTGGGGCACAGGAGTGGGAATTTCTGTGGATTTGAATCCTTGGGTGACACACAATTAATTATTTCCTTTCATTTTGAGCTGGGTTTATATTCTGGGGCCAGTGCTGAGTACATAAATGAGAAAAAAGGGAATTAACAGTTCCTCTCTCAGTGGTTTTAAATGTTCATTGCCATTAATATTCTTTAGCCTGGGTTGCCTCTACTGAAATCACAATTTAAGCCCCAAGTTGAGCAGTTTGGTTTTTTCTGCAACCTCAGGGACCTCTCCAGATTTGCTTCAATTGCCCCAAAACAAATTGAGCAAACTGCAAGTGCTGAAAATGCAAAACAAAAGGAGCTTGAGCCTCTCAAGTACAAACATTTCCCTCACAGTTGTGGGAATACATATTTGTTAGTGCAGATCATTTCAGCAGCTCAGGTCACTGAGCAAAACATTCAGCAGTAGAAGGATTTTATTTTTCTTTTTGTTTAAAATACTTTGGAATGTGCTTTCAGGGTTGTTGGAAGTAACAAACAGCATTTGTAGCATCTGACGTGTAAAATTGACAAGAATATTTAAAATAAGAGAATATTTCCTGTATTTTTTTCTCCCCAAATCACTTGATTTGTAAATATCTTTTTAATTTTATGTTATTTCGTCAAGATACACTTTTCTTTGTTGCACACCCACAGCTGGCTGCATTCTCTTCCTGTTATAAATATATTACCAGTTTATTCATCACTGACAAGGTTTATTATGTATCTTTCAAATGTTACCAGCAAAATGTTAAATATCTGTACATACAGCAAATTTGTAAATCATTCTGTGACCCTTTCTTGCACAGTTCATCAATTTCTTAATAAAACCAAATCAAAGTGGAGATTTTAAGGTATCATTTTTAAGGTATTTTAAGGTGTCGTTTTTTAAGGTATCTGAGAGCTGCTGCATGTGGGGATCTCCACTGAGTGCTAAAAAAAGAATATTTGGGGTGTTTTAATTACATGTGGAGGGGATGGGAGAGGTGTTTAATTCCATTTTTTATCACACACATCCAGTCCTGAGCGTCCTGGTGTTAAATACAAAACAAAGCAAAATATTTTGGGAAAGCACTTTTATTGCCAGGTTCTAAGTACAGTTATCACCCTGGGTGTGAAATCTGAATTTCAGGATGTTCTCAGGTGAAAATGTTCCTCTGTGGCTTTTCTGGCAGGGATTTTAGGGATTGTAATTCCAGGGAAGTGCCATCCATCCATGCCAGGGGAATTTGGAGCTGAATTTTTTGGGGTTTCCAAAGTTTTGCATTTATTTTTATCTATTTTCAGTTATTTCAGTATTAAGCAAAAATAAATAGCAGAAGGATACAGATGTTTCAGGTACATTTTGGTTACATTATTGCCCAGAACAAGAAATTATTTTAAAAATAAATGCCTCTAATTTAATTACAACTTGATTCAAACCATCATAAACCAATCTAAGAAACAGAGAATAATTAACATGATTAAAATTCAGTGGTTTAGGTGCTGCTGTGATGGATCAATAATCAAAAATAACCCAAATTTTGCCATTGCAGGGTGGGAGTTGAGTTCATTCACTTCATTTAACCTTGGCCACAGTAAATCCTCTCTGATTACAAAAAGGGAGGTTGAAAAATGCATTTTTAGGTGAAAAATAAATCCTCAAGTGAGGCAAAAGTTAAAAGCTCAGGTGGGTGTTCAAAAACCTACTGCATATTTGTAATAGTTCAGAGGGAAAATTAAAAATAGCTTTTGTTTTCTGGTTTTTAAGGCAATGAAGCTGTGAGATCTGGGTTTGTCTGTGGGATTTTACCCTTTGGGACTGGAGCAGGAGGAAGGTTTGAATCATCTGACATGAAAATTTGATTTTACAGATTATGTGGAACTATTTCCTGCAGAAAAACTGGAGATTGCTGCCTGATTCACTTCAGAATAGTCACAATTACAAATGAGCAACTGTGGAAAAGCTGGAAGCTTTCTAAAATTTAATTCTGAACTTTTAATAGGTATTTATAGAAATACAAAGTTTGTGTCACCCACAGCTGGGGGCAGGTTGGAGAGAAGCAATTTAGTATTTTTATATTATAGATAAGGTTTTTATATTGGTTTTTACATGTTTTTAATTAAACATTTTAAGACCTCCATTTCTTTATTTTGATGATAACGGAGATGAGATTGACAGAGATGAGATTTTACTCTGCAGGGGATGGGGAAGAGCCAGGGAGCAAAAAGGTTTTTATGAGCTGATCACATGTGAGAATCTCCATTTCCAAAGTTTATTCCTATTGATCCAAACCAATCAGGGGTTGCCTTGTGCTATAAAGTTTCCAATACTGGATTTTAACCTTTTTCATTTTAGTTCAGGTGCCTTTGCCCTCCTGTAGAAGTTTGGGAAGACAAGATGGGCTGAGTCTGCACAGAGCTTGGGTGTACAAAACAATAAAATATTCCATTATTTCTGCGTTTTTCATGGAGGGTCTGCAAGGATTATTTTACTGTATGAAAAGAAATGGCTGTGCTAGTTGGAGCCCTGCAGTTCTGGGAATCTAATATGTATTTTAAATAAATAAGTTTGTTTATGCAGGTTTGGGTTTGGCATAAGGGACACCAGGGAAGGGAAGGGAAGGGAAGGGAAGGGAAGGGAAGGGAAGGGAAGGGAAGGGAAGGGAAGGGAAGGGAAGGGAAGGGAAGGGAAGGGAAGGGAAGGGAAGGGAAGGGAAGGGTGCTCGTGGCTGCTGCTCCTGCACTGAGCACATCCTCAGCTCTGAGTGCTAAAGTCAGGCTAGGACAGGAAAACAAAAGGTATTTAATGCAAGCTTTGGGCACCGAGCAGTTCCGTGTCAGAGAGCCGGGCTGAGCTGGGCTGGTGCTGCAGGAAGCATTCAGGGTCACGGAGGAGTTGCCAGCTGTGGCAGCAGCTGTGACACTCGTTTCCCTTGGGGCAGGAGGGCTCCCAGCTCCCCGCTGATGTTTCATTTGCAGGTTCTGGAGCGGCTCCCTCCTTCCCCCGCTGCCCCGGCCAGGGGCACAGCCTGGTCCCGCTGTCCCCAAAGCTCCCTCTGGCCCCCGTGGGGCTCAGCATCACCCAGTGGTGTCCACACAGCAAAACCCCACAGCGGAGCCATCCCAAAATTCCCGGGGACCGCGAGCCGGGGTGAGCGCAGCGGGGGATGCTGAACGAAACCACAGCCATGGATTCCCATGGCTCCGTGTCCTTGCGCTGCAGCTGATGTCCCCAGGTCACCTTCCTCCCTTCCCGGCTGTGCCGTGTCCCCGTGAGGCGCCCTGGTGTCCTGAGTCTGTCCCAGCGGCTCCGGGCGGTGTGTCCCGCTCTACGTCCTCAGGAATCCCGCAGCTCCCTTGGCAGAGCCGGGTGTGGAGCAGGTGCGGAGCATTCCTGGGAATCCGCGATGTCCCTGGCAGGTCCCTTTGCAGAGCCAGGTGTCCAGCAGGTGCGGAGCATTCCCGGGAACCCCCAGTGTCCCTGGCAGGTCCCTTTGCAGAGCCCAGCAGGTCCCCCTGCGCCGTGGAGCATTCCCGGCGCTCCTCACCGTCCCACCAGAGAACGCTGCTGGATCCTGCCCGGGCATCCCTCCCGCGACACCCGGGGCTGTCCGCTGTCCCTCCGGGGCTCCCGAGGAGGATGGGGATGGAGATGGGGATGGAGATGGGAATGAGGATGGGGATGAGGATGAGGATGAGGATGGTCCATCGGAGCGCTCAGCCCCGCATCCCCGCGGCCGCGCCCCGTTCGGCGGGCGGGCAGCGCTGCGCCTCCTCGTAGCTGGGCAGGTGCTTCACCTCCTCGTAGCTGGGCAGGTGCGGCAGCTCCAGGCCCATCGCGGGTCCCGGGGTCCCGGCGGTGCCCGCGGAGCCCGGGGCGGGTCCCGGGGGATCCCGGCGGGTCGCGGGGCGCGGGGCCCGGCGGGGCGCGGGGCAGGCGCGGCGGCGGAGCGCGCAGCCCGCGGCCAGCAGCGCCAGCAGCACCAGCAGCGCCGCCAGCCTCCGCGCCAGCCTCCGCGCCCGCGGCACCCACGGCGGCCCCGGAGCCGCCCCCGGAGCCGCCCCCGGCCCCGCACAGCCGCCCCGGCCGCAGCGGCCGCCCGCCATCCCCGCTGCGCGCCCCGCGCCCGCCCCGCCGCGCTTCATCCGAGCCGCGCTTTATCCGCGCCCCGCCATGGGCTCGGAGCGCATCAAATATTGATGGGGCCATTTGGCCGCCCCGCTCCGCCTAATGGGGCCGGGGCACCGCGCCAGGATCAGCGCGGGGCAGAGGCGGGATGGGCCCGGCAGAGGCACGGCTGAGATGAGCCCGGGGACAGGGACGGGCTGGGCGTGAGGACATCGCGACAGCGGGACACGGGAACCCGGGGGTGTGGGGACGAGTGGAACTGAGCATGCAGGGATGCACCAAGGACACAGGGATGTGTGGCACCTCAGGATGCGGGGATGAGTGGTACCCAAAGATGGGAGGGTGAAGCTGAGCACGCCGGGATGAGCAGGAGCCATGGACACAGGGACGTGTGGCACCTCAGGATGCGGGGATGAGCGGTGCCCAAGGATAGCAGGGTGAAGCTGAACATGCAGGGTTCAGCCAAGGATGCAGAGATGTGTGGCACCTCAGGATGTGGGGATGAGCAGTGCCTGAGTTTGTGGGACAAATCCAAGGGTGCAGGGATGAGCAGAACCCAAGGACATCAGGGTAAGTGACACCCGAGCCAGGAAGAACTCAGGGTGCAGAGCCCAGCATGGATTTTGCAGCTTAGGAAGGGAGGCAACAGCGGAGCCAGAGCAGGCACTGACAGGCTGGGGCCCTGGCACCTGGGCAGGCACAGTGACACCTTCTCTCTTCATTTCGGTTGGGTTCTATTCCTGCCACTGAGGTTTCACAGTGTCACCCAGTGGTGTCCCAGCCCACCCCTCATCTCTGTGGTTTGCTGATTACCTTCACCCTAATTGCAAAACTCCAGCAAAAGGGGGAGGACAGGGAGCTCTCATCATGGAAAAGCTGACTAACATCAAAGTGAGTAACATGGCAAAAACTGACCAGACCTTTTCTGCTCGGTTTCCTCTGGGGTGGCCCTGCCAGATCTGA